ACACAGGCCCAATTTATGTCATGTTTTTACAAATGTAGTACTCACTCAGCATGCCGGTATAGATGGGTACAAAGTCAACACCTCTAATGTACAGATCAATCACCGACTGACTAATGAACCATGGTCAATCAGGTGACTGAGTACTCAGCTCCATTACCAAATACAAAGATAATAAAAAAACATCAAACACCTGGTGTTTCAACACAGCAGATTGTAGTCAACACGTAGGTCTGCACAATATTTTATAGTCAACACGTAGGTCTGCACAATATTTTGTAGTAAACATTTAGGTCTGCACAATATTTTATAGTCAACACGTAAGTCTGCACGATATTTTGTAGTAAAAATTTAGGTCTGCACAATATTTTGTAGTCGACACGTAGGACTGCACTATCTTTTGTAGTCGACACGTAGGTCTGCACAATATTTTATAGTCAACACGTAGGACTGCACTATCTTTTGTAGTCGACACGTAGGTCTGCACAATATTTTATAGTCAACACGTAGGTCTGCACAATATTTTATAGTCAACACGTAGGTCTGCACAATATTTTATAGTCAACACGTAGGTCTGCACAATATTTTATAGTCAACACGTAGGTCTGCACACTTTTGTGTACTAACATTTCTCTTTTCTAGTGGCACTAAACATTTCTCTGTTCTAGTGTCACTAAACATTTCACTGTTCTAATGGCACTAAACATTTCTAGTGGCACTAAATATTTCTAGTGGCACTAAACATTTCTCTTTTCTAGTGGCACTAAACATTTCTAGTGGCACTAAACATTTCACTGTTCTAGTGGCACTAAACATTTCTAGTGGCTCTAAATATTTCTAGTGGCACTAAACATTTCACTGTTCTAGTGGCACTAAACATTTCACTGTTCTAGTGGCACTAAACATTTCTAGTGGCACTAAACATTTCTAGTGGCACTAAATATTTCTAGTGGCACTAAACATTTCTCTTTTCTAGTGGCACTAAATATTTCTAGTGGCACTAAACATTTCTCTTTTCTAGTGGCACTAAACATTTCTAGTGGCTCTAAATATTTCTAGTGGCACTAAACATTTCTCTTTTCTAGTGGCACTAAACATTTCTAGTGGCACTAAACATTTCTAGTGGCACTAAACATTTCTCTTTTCTAGTGGCACTAAACATTTCTAGTGGCTCTAAACATTTCTAGTGACACTAAACATTTCACTGTTCTAGTGGCACTAAACATTTTTCTTTTCTAGTGGCATTAAACAATTCTAGTGGCACTAAACATTTCACTGTTCTAGTGGCACTAAACATTTCTAGTGGCTCTAAACATTTCTAGTGGCACTAAACATTTCTCTTTTCTAGTGACACTAAACATTTCTAGTGGCACTAAACATTTCACTGTTCTAGTGGCACTAAACATTTCTCTTTTCTAGTAGCACTAAACATTTCTAGTGGCACTAAATATTTCACTGTTCTAGTGGCACTAAACATTTCTAGTTGCACTAAACATTTCTAGTGGCACTAAACATTTCTAATGGCACTAAATATTTCTAGTGACACTAAACATTTCTCTTTTCTAGTGGCACTAAACATTTCTAGTGGCACTAAACATTTCTAGTGAGACTAAACATTTCTAGTGGCACTAAACATTTCTAGTGGCTCTAAACATTTCTAGTGACACTAAACATTTCACTGTTCCAGTGGCACTAAACATTTCTCTTTTCTAGTGGCATTAAACAATTCTAGTGGCACTAAACATTTCACTGTTCTAGTGGCACTAAACATTTCTAGTGGCTCTAAACATTTCTAGTGGCACTAAACATTTCTCTTTTCTAGTGACACTAAACATTTCTAGTGGCACTAAACATTTCACTGTTCTAGTGGCACTAAACATTTCTCTTTTCTAGTGGCACTAAACATTTCACTGTTCTAGTGGCACTAAACATTTCACTGTTCTAGTGGCACTAAACATTTCTCTTTTCTAGTGGCACTAAACATTTCACTGTTCTAGTGGCACTAAACATTTCTCTTTTCTAGTGGCACTAAACATTTCTCTTTTCTAGTGGCACTAAACATTTCTAGTGGCACTAAATATTTCTAGTGACTCTAAACATTCTAGTGACACTAAACATTTCTAGTGGCACTAAACATTTCTAGAGGTAAATTGGCTGATCTAAACAAAACGTACTTAAGTATTACAAGAGTTGTGATGAATCTGTACAATCACTAGACCTGGCCCTGTGTTAGCTCTGCTGTAGACACCATCTGATAGACATGTGTTTACTAAAGATTATAGAGATTCTCCACCTCTATTATGTATTAATCACGCAGGTGTAGAAAAATACGAGGCTGTAGTCTATATTCCACACGTGTATTTTATATTCTATATTCTACACGTGTATTTTTATATTCTATATTCCACACGTGTATTTTTATATTTTTTATTCCACATGTGAGCTTTCACGTTCTATATTTTACATGTATGTGTTCAGACGTTATTATTCAATTTGCTTCCTTGCACTTTCCTTTGTCTGTCGTGCTTACTGCTTTGTGCTTTATCATGGGTCGAAACAGGTGAGCAAAATTTTGACCACTTCTAACGGACATATTCGTTTCAAACTTGGCACGTGGGTCAAGACTTGATGTTCTAATTTTCAAATGTCCAATGCCTGTTCTATATTTCCTATGTTAAATGTCTAATGTCTTGTTCTATATTCCACAAGTGTACTTTAATGTTCTATACTTTGTTGTATGCAATGTTTCACACAAAGTTCACATTCGACAATAACGTAGACATGTGAACATAACAAAACAATGTATTGGTTACTCTGTAAGGCGACATAGACGAATGGTCTGCTTTAAATCGTCTACACGCAATCTCGACCAATCCTTTATTTTGACTCACGCTTTTAAAGGCTTGGCAAGATTTCTGGTGAATGTGCGATTCTATTCGTTTGTTATGTCCTAAAATAACATTGGTGAATGCGTGATTCTATTCGTTTGTTATGTTCTAAAATAACATTGGTGAATGCGTGATTCTATTCGTTTGTTATGTTCTAAAATAACATTGGTAAATGTGTGATTCTATTCGTTTGTTATGTCCTAAAATAACATTGGTGAATGCGTGATTCTATTCGTTTGTTATGTCCTAAAATAACATTGGTGAATGCGTGATTCTATTCGTTTGTTATGTCCTAAAATAACATTGGTGAATGCGTGATTCTATTCGTTTGTTATGTCCTAAAATAACATTGGTGAATGCGTGATTCTATACGTTTGTTATGTTCTAAAATAACATTGGTGAATGTGTGATTCTATTCGTTTGTTATGTTCTAAAATAACATTGGTGAATGTGTGATTCTATTCGTTTGTTATGTCCTAAAATAACATTGGTGAATGTGTGATGCTATTACTTTGTTATGTTCTAAAATAACATTGGTGAATGTTCGATTCTATTCGTTTGTTATGTCCTAAAATAACATTGGTGAATGTGCGATTCTATTCGTTTGTTATGTCCTAAAATAACATTGGTGAATGTGCGATTCTATTCGTTTGTTATGTTCTAAAATAACATTGGTGAATGTGTGATTCTATTCGTTTGTTATGTCCTAAAATAACATTGGTGAATGTGCGATTCTATTCGTTTGTTATGTCCTAAATTAACATTGGTGAATGTGCGATTCTATTCGTTTGTTATGTCCTAAAATAACATTGGTGAATGTGCGATTCTATTCGTTGTTATGTTCTAAAATAACATTGGTGAAAGTGTGATTCTATTCGTTTGTTATGTTCTAAAATAACATTGGTGAATGTGTGATTCTATTCGTTTGTTATGTCCTAAAATAGCATTGGTGAATGCGTGATTCTATTCGTTTGTTATGTTCTAAAATAACATCTTGATCCAACAAGTGGTCATGTTGTATCAAAACTGTTTGTAAGAATCATAGACTCATTTTTTAAAAACTATCGTCATAATAAAACGGTTTAGGGATGAACTATTCATTAAATTTAGAGCAAACATCAAAGAGAAGACCGGTAAGATTGCGAGAAGATAGCGCCGGTTGTGTACAAGACACAAACATCCAATTACAATCTGTACCATTGATCTAGTCAGCCCCTGCAACCAGTCAACTCACTTAGGCGAACAAGTGGAGTTATCGACTCCTGCCTGTACCACAGGGAGACTACAAAGAAACAGCAGCTGCTCTTCACATCCGCCTCGTCAAGTGGACATCAATTGTTTTCACGTTTTCAATACCATGTCTGACTCCAACAGATTCAATGTGTTGTCTGACTCCAACATGTTCAATCTGTTGTCTGACTCCAACAGGTTCAATTTGTTGTCTGACTCCAACAGGTTCAATGTGTTGTCTGACTCCAACAGGTTCAATGTGTTGTCTGACTCCAACAGGTTCAGTGTGTTGTCTGACTCCAACAGGTTCAATGTGTTGTATGACTCCAGCAGATTCAATGTGTTGTCTGACTCCAGCAGATTCACTTTGTCGTATGACTCATTTTTCTGACTCATTCTTCTCATTATAGAATTTAGAATGGTGTCAGATTTTATCTCTGTAAAAATATAAAATGTTATTTTATAGTTATCATAAAAGAATCCATAACGTTTGGTTCTTTCAAGTTAGTCAAAACAACATAGCGAAGATTAAAAACTGTAATCGTTGACGGCATTCGACCCTTGTCCTTAAAACACATGACCGTGTAAGTCATTGTTTCCCGAAGATCAAAGTGTTGGGTTGCTCGAGCCTTCTCCATCCAATCGTTCTCAGCTGATGCATAGATTGTTGTCAAGGTGCGGGCTACTTGCTGTTTGACCAGGCCCGAACCTCGGCTAGCTCAAGTTTTTTCACATTCAAATGGTAGCAGGAGGCGGGGAAGGTAAGGCTTATGAGGACTTGGCAGTCAACGTGCCAATAGTGTCGGCAACACAAGCAATACACCCCCCCCCCCTTACACGCACACAACTCACTAGAAGCTGGTTCAAATCAGGCAAACCGTGTGTATGTCTCAACCACCTAACCAGGCCAACCATTTGTCTCAACCACCTAACCAGGCCAACCATTTGTCTCAACCACCTAACCAGGCCAACCATTTGTCTCAACCACCTAACCAGGCCAACCATTTGTCTCAACCACCTAACCAGGCCAACCATTTGTCTCAACCACCTAACCAGGCCAACCATTTGTCTCAACCACCTAACCAGGCCAACCATTTGTCTCAACCACCTAACCAGGCCAACCATTTGTCTCAACCACCTAACCAGGCCAACCATTTGTCTCAACCACCTAACCAGGCCAACCATTTGTCTCAACCACCTAACCAGGCCAACCATTTGTCTCAACCACCTAACCAGGCCAACCATTTGTCTCAACCACCTAACCAGGCCAACCATTTGTCTCAACCACCTAACCAGGCCAACCATTTGTCTCAACCACCTAACCAGGCCAACCATTTGTCTCAACCACCTAACCAGGCCAACCATTTGTCTCAACCACCTAACCAGGCCGACCATTTGTCTCAACCACCTAACCAGGCCGACCATTTGTCTCAACCACCTAACCAGGCCAACCATTTGTCTCAACCACCTAACCAGGCCAACCATTTGTCTCAACCACCTAACCAGGCCAACCATTTGTCTCAACCACCTAACCAGGCCAACCATTTGTCTCAACCACCTAACCAGGCCAACCATTTGTCTCAACCACCTAACCAGGCCAACCATTTGTCTCAACCACCTAACCAGGCCAACCATTTGTCTCAACCACCTAACCAGGCCAACCATTTGTCTCAACCACCTAACCAGGCCAACCATTTGTCTCAACCACCTAACCAGGCCAACCATTTGTCTCAACCACCTAACCAGGCCAACCATTTGTCTCAACCACCTAACCAGGCCAACCATTTGTCTCAACCACCTAACCAGGCCAACCATTTGTCTCAACCACCTAACCAGGCCAACCATTTGTCTCAACCACCTAACCAGGCCAACCATTTGTCTCAACCACCTAACCAGGCCAACCATTTGTCTCAACCACCTAACCAGGCCAACCATTTGTCTCAACCACCTAACCAGGCCAACCATTTGTCTCAACCACCTAACCAGGCCAACCATTTGTCTCAACCACCTAACCAGGCCAACCATTCGTCTCAACCACCTAACCAGGCCAACCATTTGTCTCAACCACCTAACCAGGCCAACCATTTGTCTCAACCACCTAACCAGGCCAACCATTTGTCTCAACCACCTAACCAGGCCAACCATTTGTCTCAACCACCTAACCAGGCCAACCATTTGTCTCAACCACCTAACCAGGCCAACCATTTGTCTCAACCACCTAACCAGGCCAACCATTTGTCTCAACCACCTAACCAGGCCAACCATTTGTCTCAACCACCTAACCAGGCCAACCATTCGTCTCAACCACCTAACCAGGCCAACCATTTGTCTCAACCACCTAACCAGGCCAACCATTTGTCTCAACCACCTAACCAGGCCAACCATTTGTCTCAACCACCTAACCAGGCCAACCATTTGTCTCAACCACCTAACCAGGCCAACCATTTGTCTCAACCACCTGGGGTCTGGCTTTTTGTGATGATTTGTGACAGTGGAGAGGAGAGGGAAAGATAAAAATCGGCAAAAAAGCGTGACGCCATTTATGAATGACCCCTAAACCCATAATTATCCAAAGGTTAATGAGTGGACTAGGGGAGATCACTCCCGGATTTTGTTTTTTTCTTTCAGAGATCCAATGAAGTGTTGTGAAAACAAATAATAACACAACCATTGTCAGAGAAACATGGACTCAATAAAGATTCATGTTAGATCTATTTTTGTATCTGTTTATATATGATCTAAAGCTATTTTTGCTCTTGTAATCGAAACCGGAAATGTTTAAAATGGTTCTCGCGGGTAGCAGAAGGAGTGAGCACTAGTTCATGGTCCAGATTTTAAAAATAGTTTTCTCATCTCACGTTCTAAACAGCCACACACATTGATAAGGGGAGTGGTGTACAATCTAAACACGGGGCTAGACAATCTGGCATGTCAAGACACACGGGTCTAGACAATCTGGCATGTCAAGACACACGGGTCTAGACAATCTGGCATGTCAAGACACACGGGTCTAGACAATCTGGCATGTCAAGACACACGGGTCTAGACAATCTGACATGTCAAGACACACGGGTCTAGACAATCTGGCATGTCAAGACACACGGGTCTAGTAAACTTATTGTACAGCAAACATAAAGCCAGAGTTGGAATTGAGCGAGAAATCGAATTTTACAAAAAAAAGCTTTGTTATTGAACACTCCCATGTCGACAGAGAGTAAAAGTCTAACAGACAGAAAGTATAAGTATAAAAGAGTGGGTGGAATGGTATATAGGTGGGGCGGGATGGTATGTAGGTGATCAGTTATATAAGAGAGTGGGTGGGGAGGGTATATAGGTGGGGCGGGATGGTATGTAGGTGATCAGTTATATAAAAGAGTGGGTGGAATGGTATATAGGTGGGGCGGGATGGTATGTAGGTGATCAGTTATATAAAAGAGTGGGTGGAATGGTATATAGGTGGGGCGGGATGGTATGTAGGTGATCAGTTATATAAAAGAGTGGGTGGGATGGTATATAGTTGGGTGGGATGGTATGTAGGTGATCAGTTATATAAGAGAGTGGGTGGGGAGGGTATATAGGTGGGGCGGGATGGTATGTAGGTGATCAGTTATATAAGAGAGTGGGTGGGATGGTATATAGGTGGGGTGAGGATGGGATGGTATGTAGCTGATCAGTTATATAAGAGAGTGGGTTGGATGGTATATAGGATATATGTTGTATAAAAGAGTGGATGGGGTGGTATCGAGATGTTACTATGTTTGCATTTTACAAAGTTTGCAATAAAAAAAAAAATAAAAAAAAAAAACATATTTAATTAATTATTTGGTTGCAAACACACACACACTTTTGAAACAATTTATAAAATTCTCTGGTTGCTAACACATCCAAAGCACACAAGTTATGTTTCCATAACAATCAATTATACCCACGTATCACTCTCGGTATTATGGGATATTAGAAGAGCGAGAATAATATTGGACTAATTAACAGAAACAAAATAACTAATTAATGACGTCACCGCAGTTTAGAAAAGCGATTCGCTTTATCTTGCGCGTGTTGATCTCACTCAACCGTCGATCTATTCAACCGTCGATCTATTCAACCTTCGATCTATTCAACCGTCGATCTATTCAACCGTCGATCTATTCAACCGTCGATCTATTCAACCGTCGATCTATTCAACCGTCGATCTATTCAACCGTCGATCTATTCAACCGTCGATCTATTAAACCGTCGATCTATTCAACCGTCGATCTATTCAACCGTCGATCTATTCAACCGTCGATCTGACTCAACCGTCGATCTATTCAACATATGATCTATTCAACCGTCGATCTATTCAACCGTCGATCTATTCAACCGTTGATCTATTCAACCGTCGATCTATTCAACCGTCGATCTGACTCAACCGTCGATCTATTCAACCGTCGATCTATTTAACCGTCGATCTATTCAACAGTCGACCTTACTCAACCGTCGATCTATTCAACCGTCGATCTATTCAACCTTTTATCTATTCAACCGTCGATCTATTCAACCGTCGATCTATTCAACCGTCGATCTATTCAACCGTCGATCTATTCAACCGTCGATCTATTCAACCGTCGACCTTACTCAACCGTCGATTTATACATTGTAATCCTACACGTGTTCTGATCTAGATATCGCCATATGATTCAAGCGTTCATTTATTCATTTACTAAGACGTTGAAATTGTACTATTGACAAGCTAACCTTGTGATACAGATCTCAGACCTTAAGATTGAACAAGCTAATCTTGTGATACAGATCTCAGATCTTAAGATTGACAAGCTAACCATGTGATACAGATCTCAGACCTTAAGATTGAACAAGCTAACCATGTGATACAGATCTCAGACCTTAAGATTGAACAAGCTAATCTTGTGATACAGATCTCAGACCTTAAGATTGAACAAGCTAACCATGTGATACAGATCTCAGACCTTAAGATTGAACAAGCTAACCATGTGATACAGATCTCAGACCTTAAGATTGAACAAGCAAACCTTGTGATACAGATCTCAGATCTTAAGATTGACAAGCTAACCATGTGATACAGATCTCAGACCTTAAGATTGAACAAGCTAACCTTGTGATACAGATCTCAGACCTTAAGATTGAACAAGCTAACCATGTGATACAGATCTCAGACCTTAAGATTGAACAAGCTAACCATGTGATACAGATCTCAGACCTTAAGATTGAACAAGCAAACCTTGTGATACAGATCTCAGATCTTAAGATTGACAAGCTAACCATGTGATACAGATCTCAGATCTTAAGATTGAACAAGCTAACCATGTGATACAGATCTCAGACCTTAAGATTGAACAAGCTAACCATGTGATACAGATCTCAGATCTTAAGATTGAACAAGCTAACCATGTGATACAGATCTCAGACCTTAAGATTGAACAAGCTAACCATGTGATACAGATCTCAGACCTTAAGATTGAACAAGCTAAACATGTGATACAGATCTCAGATCTTAAGATTGAACAAGCTAACCATGTGATACAGATCTCAGACCTTAAGATTGAACAAGCTAACCATGTGATACAGATCTCAGACCTTAAGATTGAACAAGCTAACCATGTGATACAGATCTCAGACCTTAAGATTGAACAAGCTAACCATGTGATACAGATCTCAGACCTTAAGATTGAACAAGCTAACCTTGTGATACAGATCTAAGACCTTAAGATTGAACAAGCTAATCTTGTGATACAGATCTCAGACCTTAAGATTGAACAAGCTAACCATGTGATACAGATCTCAGACCTTAAGATTGAACAAGCTAACCTTGTGATACAGATCTCAGACCTTAAGATTGAACAAGCTAACCTTGTGATACAGATCTCAGACCTTAAGATTGAACAAGCTAACCTTGTGATACAGATCTCAGACCTTAAGATTGAACAAGCTAACCTTGTGATACAGATCTCAGACCTTAAGATTGAACAAGCTAATCTTGTGATACAGATCTCAGATCTTAAGATTGAACAAGCTAATCTTGTGATACAGATCTCAGACCTTAAGATTGAACAAGCTAACCTTGTGATACAGATCTCAGACCTTAAGATTGAACAAGCTAATCTTGTGATACAGATCTCAGACCTTAAGATTGAACAAGCTAATCTTGTGATACAGATCTCAGACCTTAAGATTGAACAAGCTAATCTTGTGATACAGATCTCAGACCTTAAGATTGAACAAGCTAATCTTGTGATACAGATCTCAGACCTTAAGATTGAACAAGCTAATCTTGTGATACAGATCTCAGACCTTAAGATTGAACAAGCTAACCATGTGATACAGATCTAAGACCTTAAGATGGAACAAGCTAATCTTGTGATACAGATCTCAGATCTTAAGATTGAACAAGCTAACCTTGTGATACAGATCTCAGATCTTAAGATTGAACAAGCTAATCTTGTGATACAGATCTCAGATCTTAAGATTGAACAAGCTAACCATGTGATACAGATCTCAGACCTTAAGATTGAACAAGCTAATCTTGTGATACAGATCTCAGACCTTAAGATTGAACAAGCTAACCATGTGATACAGATCTCAGACCTTAAGATTGAACAAGCTAAACATGTGATACAGATCTCAGACCTTAAGATTGAACAAGCTAATCTTGTGATACAGATCTAAGACCTTAAGATTGAACAAGCTAACCATGTGATACAGATCTCAGACCTTAAGATTGAACAAGCTAAACATGTGATACAGATCTCAGACCTTAAGATTGAACAAGCTAACCATGTGATACAGATCTCAGACCTTAAGATTGAACAAGCTAACCTTGTGATACAGATCTCAGACCTTAAGATTGAACAAGCTAATCTTGTGATACAGATCTCAGACCTTAAGATTGAACAAGCTAATCTTGTGATACAGATCTCAGACCTTAAGATTGAACAAGCTAAACATGTGATACAGATCTCAGATCTTAAGATTGAACAAGCTAACCATGTGATACAGATCTCAGACCTTAAGATTGAACAAGCTAACCATGTGATACAGATCTCAGACCTTAAGATTGAACAAGCTAACCATGTGATACAGATCTCAGACCTTAAGATTGAACAAGCTAACCATGTGATACAGATCTCAGACCTTAAGATTGAACAAGCTAACCTTGTGATACAGATCTAAGACCTTAAGATTGAACAAGCTAATCTTGTGATACAGATCTCAGACCTTAAGATTGAACAAGCTAACCATGTGATACAGATCTCAGACCTTAAGATTGAACAAGCTAACCTTGTGATACAGATCTCAGACCTTAAGATTGAACAAGCTAACCTTGTGATACAGATCTCAGACCTTAAGATTGAACAAGCTAACCTTGTGATACAGATCTCAGACCTTAAGATTGAACAAGCTAACCTTGTGATACAGATCTCAGACCTTAAGATTGAACAAGCTAATCTTGTGATACAGATCTCAGATCTTAAGATTGAACAAGCTAATCTTGTGATACA